ATGCATTATACTGACCACATTATCCCCATGTATGGGGGTCGGCGTGTTTGAGTCGGTAAAGCTCATGGTTGCTTAAACCGAAAAGTCTCGAGTTCAAACCCTCTGGCAGATAAGGCTCGAACCCTTCCAACACTAAAAATTGGGAACGAAGAAGAAGAAGATCCCCTGGTATGCCGAGGTCATTAAAATTGACCTACCCCATGTGTCTTGGGCACAAACAGGAAAATATGATGATGTACGCAATGTTACAATTAAAAATAAAAAGAGTTTTCCAGATTTTTAATTTACTTTCCGGTTTTTTTTTGGGTTTTTTTTTTTTTACTTCCCACTTTATTACGTTGAAAAATTCTATTTTTAGAATAATAAACTTACATGGTTACACGTCTGTATAAAGCATTTGATGGATTTCCTCCGATTGCTTGCTATACGAGTGAATATTTTTCAAAGTAATTTTGCTTGATAAAATCATCTTTATTCGACTTTATGACATTTTTATTTTAAACATTTTCCCCTGTTTCTCTTTTACATTTGACTATCTATTTTCTCCGACTATAAACTACACGTTATTTCGATTCATATAACTAAAATAAAGGGCAGAGACACGTCGACACATACATGAGTCACCAGCTGTTCTACTCAGGGTAGGGGGGAGTTATGTCCCATATGGTGTGTACCGTGGCATTGTGATTCAAATTTTCTCATGTGAAAAAAACGGGCGGCTTAGTACGGGAGAAAGATGATAATCTATATATATAATTCTCTTCTGGTGGGAGCCGTTAGAAAACAAGCTGCAAGCGCGCCTTACAGTCCTCTCTCTTCCTCTCTATCACTACCACCCCCACCCCCTCACATGGTCTGGTGAGCTGTGGTTCACACTGTTTACATTTTACAATCATAGAGACGGGTTTGGTGACGGCTATTAGGGGCAGATAATTTAGTTTGAAACGATTTTAAACTTAGAGGAGGTAACTAAGAGGAGGTTGCTTTCACATGGGGGGGGGGGGGGGAATGGGGGGTTTTATGGTTTTTTAGGCAAATATTTTAGTGGCAGCATTGGTACTGTCGAATTCACAAATTAATAATTACTGAAAAGTAGAAAAAAAAAAAACCAACTAAATAGCGGCGTATGATACGCAGCGGGTCGGCTCGTTTATTATATATCTCTATTCACCGTAGTGTGTTTATGGGGGGATCGACCCTTCTATTGTGATTCCTGCACAGAATATTCTCCATATATATATATATATATATATATATATATATATATATATATATATATATATATATATATATATATATATATATATATATGGAGAATATATATATATATATATATATATATATATATATTTATATATATATATATATATATATATATATATATATATATATATATATATATATATATATATATATATATATATATATATATGGAGATTATATATATGGAGAATATATATATATATATATATATATATATATATATATATATTTATATATATATATATATATATATATATATATATATATATATATATATATATATATATATATATATATATATAACACAATAAACACAATAAACAAAGTTCAAATTTCAATGTTTAATAACATGTACGCAATCTGTGTATTACTAATACTCTCAGCCAAACTCCGGTGTCCCATATTTTACTTCTACTATCTCAACTACTATACCGTAACTCAGTGGCGTAGCGAGGTCGGGTGTCAACCGGTGCGGCACTTAATGGTGTCACCACCAGAGGCGTAGCGACCCTTCAAGGGGACAAATTTTCGATTTGCACCCCCTCCCCCCTCAAACTTTCGATTTGCACCCCCCCTCAAGTTTTCGATTTGCACCCCCCTTCCAACTTTCGATTTGCACCCCCTCCTCAAGTTTTTCTCTATATATTTTGCTATTTCTTGCCTTGGTGTCACCCCCCTAAATGGTGTCACCCGGTGCGGTCCGCCCCCCCCCCTCCCCTCGCTACGCCTCTGCCGTAACTAAGTCCAACTCACCTATCTCTTGGTCCTAACACTATGTATATTCAACTGATTTCTATCAGTAACAGTTGCTACATATGGGGTCATCCATTTATGACGTCCACACAAGGGGAGGGAGGGGGAGTAAAAAAATCGACTTTTGTGGACGCTTGTGGACTGGGGGAGGGGGGAAGTTGGGTCTTCTGCATCTTCAATTTAAAAAAAAAGATGCATGACTGCCTGCAATCTCTGACTCTTTATAACAAATAGTGGGTAAAAAAAACTTTTAAAATCAAGAGACAGGGTACACAGCATCCATGCGCGATCACTCTTTCAATAAAGAACATTTTTAGATAGTCTTAGCACATTCACACGGTAAGTTAACATGCCGTAGACTCACGGACATCTTGGAAAAGTTTAACTCCCAATTACTACTTAGGCCTAGATCTAGTAATAGATGTTACCGAAAATATCAAATCCCTATATTACATTATTAGTTAATGTACACATTGCATGTACATGAATTAGTAATTTTACAGCATGTATTGAGGTCTACTAAATTTTTGTGGACGTCATGTATGTCCAACCCCTCTAGTGATCTCACATCGAATCAAACAGAACACGGGTAAACATCCATGTAGTTCTTTACCGTCATAGTCGGCACATGTTCCTCTCTTCTCGTGTATGTAAAGTTAAACTTGGACCAACCATGGTTCAGGAACAGTTCCTCACTAATATGTCGACGTTGCGGAGCCGGTGTGGTCGGAGAGTAGTGCCTATGACTGCTAACCCGAGAGACCCAAGTTCGCATCCCGGGCTCTAGTCTGATGGACGACCCGAGAACAACCAGCTCTGATTGTGTACACCAGGGGTCTCCAAACTTTTCAGTCCAAGGGCCGCATTAACTATCAAATTTCAGTTCGGGGGCCAGTTTCTTCCAGGCATGTCTTTGATTTTTCTGGGCAAAGTTCCTCAGCCATCACAAACAAACGATTTTTCCTTGGACAAAAAGATCTCCGCGGGCCGAATAAGAGAACTTCGCGGGCCGCATCCGGCCCGCGGGCCGTAGTTTGGAGACCCCTGGTGTACACGAAGGACGATAGGGAAGCAAAAAAGGTTTGAAAAAGTGTTGACAATATTATCCATGTGTATGCCTAGGTCTAGTGGCGTAGCGAGGTCGGTTTGTTACCCGGTGCGCCCTCCCCCCCTCCCCCGCCCCTCCCACTCGCTACGCCTTTGCCTAGGTCATTGAAACAGATGAACTCTTGGGCAAGTACAGGAAAAGTAGATGATGATATCAATATTATTTCATTGTAATATTTGCTCCACAATTCGTAAATTTCATTTATATCAAATTGAAAAAAAAAATGTGTAGGCTATTTTTATTGTAATCTTTATTTTAAAATGAATGACTAATTGTTTTACTTCAGTTTAAAAGAAAACCGGCAAATAAAAGTATAGCTTTATCAATTACTAAGAAATTATTGGCTGTAAAAAGAAAAAAAATCAAACGTACAATTCAAATGAATACACAAAATGTTTGTATATTTGTTAACAATAGCATATTTTATTTTGCCATATTCTAATTTGTTTATTTGTAATGCCAGAAAAGATACATTAGAACAAGTAATTGTTTGGAAAAGAAAGCTACTGGCAGTGGCAATCACTAATTAGAACACACCGAGCCTTACCAAAAAATATATCAATTAAGTTTTAAATGTAAGATAAATAAATATTATATAATTGACAATAGCTCTAAATTTAATGTCATTGTTATTCAGTGACACAAAGCAAAGATATTGCATTTAGTGTTTTAATATTCAAACTGCAAAATCATACCATTTATGCAACATATTCGTACATTTCATAAGCTCTTAACATCACTGATTTCAGTCCAAAAAACAAAACAACAACAAAAAACCGCACTAATCCATAATAGTAACCGAGACTCTAGAAAGAAAAATGTTCTACATTAAGCGTTCATTGATCCTCGTATTTTTCCTCAGTTACAATACAATTTTTTCCCCTCACAGCTCCGTGTGATTTTCTTCGAAACTAAAAGCTAGTGCATTTAGCTTCCTTCAAATATGATTTAAGCTATCTATGCATGGGCTTCAAATACATTCGGAATCTAATAAACATGCATTAATTTTTTTTTATAAAAAACAACAAGAATATCGAAGCTATATTCGCCAAAGTAGTATCGGATTTTCTAAATGTAACTTTTTATTTAACCGGATTGACCTTCTTATTTCTAACACAGTTTGAAAAAAAAAATGTAACGGAAGTTTTCAGTTTAAAAAGAAAAATCCAAACATATAAATAATTAGTTGCATGTTTCTTAGCAATAAAATAGTGCAATCTATTATGTTATTTCAATGTTATATTTTCACTATAAATTTTTTCAGAAACCTTGATAGATTTAAAAAAAAAAAGTTACACTATTGGCATTTAGGTTACATATTTTTCGTTATAACTAAACAAATCAGTTTATAACAAAAAGAAAAATGATTAAAAATGTTCAATCACAATAATTCTAAGGCTTACGAATTCTTCGAAAGTAAAAGCTAGCACATTTAGCTATCTTCAAATATCATTTAAGCTATCTATGTATGGGCTTCAATTACATTTTTTCAAAAACCTTGATAGATTTAAAAAAAAAAAAGTTACACTATTGGCATTTAGGTTACATATTTTTCGTTATAACTAAACAAATCAGTTTATAACAAAAAGAAAAATGATTAAAAATGTTCAATCACAATAATTCTAAGGCTTACGAATTCTTCGAAAGTAAAAGCTAGCACATTTAGCTTTCTTCAAATATCATTTAAGCTATCTATGTATGGGCTTCAATTACATTTTGATTCAAATAAACATGCATTAAATTTAAAAAAAAAATATTAAAAAAAAATAACTGAAGCTACATTCGCAAAAGTGGCAATAGATTTTCTAGAAGTTGCTTTTTATTTAACTGGATTGACCGTTTTAATTCTAGGGTGACAAGATTCCCAGTCCTCCGCTCACAGCTCCGTGTGTTTCTCAACAAAGTTCTGCAGATCCACCATCGTCCGTTCTCCATTATACGAGGCCACCAGGTCGCCATACCGAAATATTTTCAGGGTTGGATACTTGGTAATCTCGTACTGCTCACACAGACTCTTGAACTGGCTGCAGTCCAACCTGGCTATACTCACTGGATGGCCGTGTAGCTCCCGGCTCAAGGTGGCCCAGGTCGGGGCGAAACGTTTACAGTTGCCACACCAAGGGGCGTAGAACTTCACGAACACTAAACCAGTTGATAACTCAGTTTGAAAAGTCTCAGCCGTTAGTTCTTTAACAAACACTTCCGGTTCGTCTGTAGATTTTTCTGCAACGAATTGTGTTAACGCTTCAACGTTCCGTGATCCTTGAAATCTTCCAGTTTTTTGTCCATCGCGGAAAAACCAGAGCGTAGGGTATTCTTTTATTTCCTGGTGCTTACAAACGAGAGATGCTTGTTCGCAATCTATCATAGCAACGCGAGTTCTGTTAGCGCTGATGGCGTCAGCTAACATCTCCCAAATAGGAACAAGACGCATGCTATGCGGGCACTGGTGTATGAAGAACATAACAAAATACAAACCTGTAGAGATTGTGGTGTCAAAAGTTTCTTGTGTTAATCTAACAACATTACTCAATATTACCTGTGGTTCTGTACTCTCAGTTAGATCTATATTCACATCGTTGCTTTTAGGAACTTCTTGAATCATTTCTTGAATAAAAGTGTTCAATGATTCTATAGTATATTTACCTGTAAAACGCGTGTAGCTGTCTCCACCTATTTGATACAACTGAAGTGTTGGGTAATGAACGATTTGATGATCTAGACACAAACCCCCGTGAACAGCGCAATCAATTTTTGCAATGATCACATCAGAGGTGTCGCCTTTGTTGTAGATTGTAGCCAACTCATCCCACGTTGGGGACAAACTGTCGCAATGTTCGGACCACCCAACGTAAAACATGATGAAGTTTTTGTTCTTTTCTAGCCCAGCTCCTAGGGAGTCCGCGTCGTAGATTACTACATTTCTCTCATGGCCTACGATAAATGAGCCTGTTAAACTCACGAATGACGAAACTAAGCTCAGGGTTAAAAGTAGAGAGATGTTGCAAGACATTTTCTTTAGCTCCATGTTGTGAATGACTTGTTTAACTGTTAACAAAAAAAAAAAAAAAACACTTTAAAATAAAAATTAAAAAAATACTTTCATTGCTTAACTGAAACTAAAAATCGGAAACGGTTTAAAAAATTAACAATGAATACTTTTTGGTTAAAATTATAAATATTCTAGGAATGTCTACTTTAATGGTAGTGTTTAAACATGATGAAAGTCAACAAATAATGTTACTGTTTTTTCTATTGCTCAACTTTAAACAGAATCTAATGATTTATGTCCGGAATGAAATTGCTAAAAAAAAAATCTAAGAAATATTATAAATGTGTTTATTTACATCACCGTTTAGTCTGCGTGGCATCTTCTTGTACGTTCAACGTGTACACTAATCACATCAAGATGTTTACTAGAAAAAAAAAACAATCTATTATCTCCCCTTCTCTTCACTATTTTGTTTCAGCCCACTCCTTAAGGCAGCTGTTCAACTTGATTTCTACACAAACGATTATCAAAAGTTTATGTCCGTGTTAGTAATAAAATAACAATACAGTCCGTATCGAATAGGGCTGAATACTTTAGCAGCTTAACTCCAAATGAGTAAACAATAAAGTATATCGATTGACTTGATAGATAACTTTGTTTTCAACATTATATATATAAACAGCATTTATATATGTCCTCAATTCTCTATTGCTAACTAGAATATAAGTTACTTAAAGCTATGAGGCTCCAAGAAATACAACGTAACACGTCATCTTAATTACTTTGCACAGGTAGAAGGGCTTGTGTTATTTATAAATGGGTTGCTTATATTAATGAAAATTTGACTGTTGGGCTGTATGTATCTTCAGTGTATCAGACTGTTTTCTCCAGGGGTGGGGGGTGGGGGGTGGGGAGGGGGGGTGGGGGAGGGGGCGGACTAAATCTTCCGGTGGGGACGCACACTGATAAACGTATCTTTTTTTCTATATAAATTCCATTTCGTTCGGGTGGGGGGTGGGGCAGACTTTCTTCGAGGGGAGGCGCCTCCCCCTCCCGAAGAGATGCATGGAAGAAACTGTATCTTCCTTATTGAGAAAGTTACTTGTCAGTGAGCAGTCAAATTATCGGAAAATTAATTAAAACATGCGTTTGGTGCGCATTTCAATTACGGTAACATTAACAATCATCCCAGGTTTTTTTTTTTTATAGAGAACGAAATAACAAAATGTATTCATTAACTGAAATAAGCTGCGACACACACATACTGCCGCAACCGGTAAAGCGCGTAGAAATTTAAAAAAGAAGTCCCGAATTGGATTATTTCGTCACTCATGTAAACGGTATAGTATTCAAGTTTAATTGTAGGAAGGCTAAAGAAAAAGTTGATCAAAAACATAACTTATAAATTTAATCTTGTAGAGTATTTTATTTGAGATCGTATTCTTTGTGTTATTTTTAAATCTACGCAATTGTACCTTCTAAAGGGTTAAATAAACAGAGGCGTACAGACGGGGGGCGGGGTGTACATATGTCCCAGGGCGCTGACCCTAGGGGCGCCAAAATTAGCTCATTTTAGCTGCTATTTTGAATTATAAATATAAAAAAAAAATATATTGGGGGTGGGGGGGGGGGGGCGCCAAATTGAAAGTTTGTCCCCGGGCGGCTGGAGGGGTCGCTACGCCTCTGTAAACGAATCTGACCTTTAACATCATACTACCGCATTATTTCAACATTTTATTATCTACGTATTTCCATCTCTACTTCTTAAAAGATGAGATCAGGACAAAAGATCAATCTAGAAGATAAGACGATCAGAGTTTCTTCCAGGCATCTCTTCGTGTGTGTGTGTGTGTGTGGGGAGGGGGGGGGGGAGAAAGTCTACCGCTCCCCCGAACGAAATGGAATTAACATAGAAAACATATAATTTCACCAGTGTCCGCCCCCTCCGGAAAATTTAGTCCCCCCCCCCCCCCGGAGAAAAAAGTGAAAAAAAAAACATTGAAGACAAGGTGAATGCATAAAACCAAACCCACAATGTCCACAACTTCAAACATTTCTACGTTTAAATATTGTTTGATATAAACGCGTCTAAAATTATTGCTTGTGATAAAAACATTTCTTTTGACTTTTGTATTGTTTTTAAAACTCTTTTGACTGTTTTGTAAAACACAATGTCGCCTCGACTGTATAGAAGACAATTGTAGTAATGCACTTATTTCGTAAAATCAATGTACGCCTACATGGATAATTAATATGTATTGTCAATAATACAATCTCCCAAATCACTCCAGTAAAATGCCAGAAACCTAGAATGCAAATATTTTTTGACTGTTTTACTATAATATTTTGCACTATTTTAATATTGGAATTAGATGCATATACTCATTTTTCTTTAGATTATGATTTCTAGATATTTTGCATTTGTCCAATATTTCTCGGGGGGGGGGGGGAGCAATTGGTAAAAGTTTATGTTTGCTATATTGATCCCCCTCCCCCCCCCCCCCCCCCCAAGAGATACCAGGAAGAAACTGCATTTATCCCCTACACAATCTATATCTGCGTATTCATCACTTTGAGTATAACTTTCAGTGAGTACTCTTTCTCTGCTCACTTTCCCTAACACAACAGGAGCTATTTTTTTTCTACGACATTTTGCACGACCTTTTTCATGATATTTTTCGTGACTCTATTGCCTATGATTTTTTCTATGACTTTTGACTTTTCCATCTGACTTTTCCCGCTAGCTATCGAGTCACATGATGTATCGATCTACCCTTTCGATGAACATTAGCTATTTTATACCTCCCTCATCTGGTTAACGGCCATCAATAACTAATAAATAAGCTTAGAAGGAAGAGGCGTGTGTTACACAGATCCATAGAGCGTACAACACACTAAACACGCATAACTCGGCGTACAACACACTAAACACGCATACATCGGCGTACAACACACTAAACACGAATAAATCGGCGTACAACACACTTAACACGCATACATCGGCGTACAACACACTAAACACGCATACATCGGCGTACAACACACTAAACACGCATACATCGGCGTACAACACACTAAACACGCATACATCGGCGTACAACACACTAAACACGCATACATCGGCGTACAACACACTAAACACGCATACATCGGCGTACAACACACTACACACGCATACATCGACACGGATGTTATTAGATCTATAGGGCCCATAATGCAATGCAACTAACACGGAGAAATCGACACCTGGATTTAAGTCCCATGTAGTGTGTATCCTATGAGGGGGGGGGGGGGGGGAGTCATCGGTACACGTCGTTGAGAAGGGGTGTTGTTTCGAAATTTTGTAACCCGTTGTAACGAATCGTCACACTGTGTAACAAGAATTTTAAGAAGGGGTTTAAAAAAAAAATGTGACTTCCCATTTCTGCATTTTTAAAACGTTTTTTTTTAAAAGCTGAGCTAAAACATTTCTTTTCGCGACTTATAAAAAAGTACCCATTTATAAACTGTAAGTGACCAATTAATTTTTAAATCTATTAATCGTTGCAAAAATAAAAAAACTATAAAAAAATTTAAAAAATAAAAAAATTAAATAAAAATAAATAAATGCAAAAACAAAACCAGATGGAATTCGATACGTGGTCTAGTAGTTAGAGCGTGCGATTGCCGAGGTGAGTTCGGAACTCGAGATTAAAACCAACATAGGCCATCCCTCGGCCTGACTGTCCCTAACGTACAAAAAAATTAGAGCTATGAACTGGTGCAGTAAAACAATAGTCTGGCAGAAACCCTTATGTCTTTGTCTTTCCGGCATTTCTTTTAGGATTTACCATCGCAGGAGCAGGTAATAATCGTACAATTAAGAAAAAGATATGGAGAAAACAGACAGGCGTATTGTCGGTGGCGCATTACTAAAGGGAAACAACTCAATTAATATTTTAAGAAAGTTGATTAACAACATTTTTACAATTAGGGGTGTCGGTGTCAGTGTTTCTTTTAGGTTTTTTTTTCTCCGAGTGGAGAGGGGGGGGGGGGGGAATGTGGACTAAATTTTCCGAGACAGTGGACACCGGTAAAAGTATATATTTTCTATATAAATTATATTTCGTTTGTTTCGGGGACTAGCGATAGACGTGCTTTGAGGGTGTGTGGGGGGGGGGGGGGGGCGAAGAGATGCCTGAAAGAAACACTGGTCGGTATGTATTTATATGTGAGAGCGAGGAAAAAATGATGATCCACTTATCTATTTACATTATCCACTTCTTTATTTACACTATCCGCTTCTCTGTTTACATAATCCACTTCTCTATTGACATTATCCATTTCTCTATATACACGATCAACTTATGTATTTACATAATCCACTTCTCTGTTTACATAATCAACTTATGTATTTACATAATCCACTGCTCTATTTCTACAAGCGTTAAATACATCACGCGTGATTAGCGTTAGTGCATGACCTCTGGTTTGGATAGGTCTACAAATACAAAAGATATCAGCGATGGGTAGGGATAGTGCATGACCTTATGTGCTGACTCTTTATTAATACATGTATGCACCTGTTAACACACACCTTCTCACCCCACACACCCACTCCCCCCACACACACTATCTCTGATTTCTACTAACATAGGAAATTACATTTCGCTTGACAATCTCTGAACAACACGACTACACATAAAACACAAAGTAATTAGGAGATATGGTCATTTATTAAAACAGCATTTTCGCTAGCATTAGACACGCGAAAATATTTTAGGCGTTAAACAACCTCGTCCAACACTAACAACTGTGTCATTGTTAACATTTGATTTCGTTGGATCTCTTACGCTTATTGAAAAAAAAATTCATAAGTCTACGATCTACAAAATACATCAAATCATTTCAGTCCTCATTTTAAAAAATTGTTTTCGAAATTGCAATACATATCTCACATCATTTAAAAAAAAATTTTTAACTATTGTTCATTTAAACCAGGGGTCTCCAAACTTTTCAGCCAGAGGGCCGCATAAACTATCAAATATCAGTTCGGGGGCCAGAGTTTCTTCCAGGCATCTCTTCGGGTTGACGATGCCCCACACCCCAAAGAATGTCTACCGCCCTCCCCGCCCCCCCCCCCCACATACACCCCACACGAAATATAATTTATATTAAAATATATACAAGTGACCCTGACCCCCTCCCCGGAAACACTGTCGGTGGCAGACAACACACTCGAGGTCCAAGTTTGTTCTCAAATTGTTCTCTATGTACTTAATTCTTGAAAATTTTTGTTTAAAATTTGATAGGTACTTTGATACAAAAGTTTTAATATTAGGAAATTCTTCCGTAGACAAAAAGATCTCCGCGGGCCGGATGAGAAGACCTTGCGGGCCGCATTCAGCCCGCGGGCCGTAGTTTGGAGACCCCTGATTTAAATAAATAATTTCCTATCTTTTATTTCCAATTGAGGGGAATATATACATAAAATAAACAGACCGAAACGACAAACCCAATTTCTGTCATTTTATTACCTTATCTATACAAACATTAATTAACTAAAAACATATCGATCTATGACTTGTTTGAAGCACTCAAATAGTTTACAATTGTATTAACCTTGATCTCTTATCATCAACAATCAAATTAAAACACCCATAAGCCTTTTGTATGTAGATACAAAGGTTGGTACATGCAAGCATTATTTAGATAAATAAAAATATTTTTGCATCGCGTCGTGCAACAACCGAAACCCTCGAGCTAAACAACAACAAAACATTCAATTTATTTTCCTTTTCGCATTGTTTCTGCAGTCAATATGATAGTAATTTCTAATCCCAACAGGAAATTGCGGTATTATCTTCACAGTTACTAGAAGCTGTTTAGTGACAGCTGCGTAATGTCACCGTATATTGTGACAACTCTCAATCTCTCCATGTAATAAATCGCGCTATATAAGACAGTATGTTGGGTATTGTTTGATTGTCATTTCAACAAGAGACAGAAATAAGGAAAATTGCATTCACTGGTAGGCTCTTTTATTTTATAAGTTAAAATATATAAAGCCTATGCAAATTTAATTTTATGCATTGATATTAAAATGTTTGTAGCTATTTAATCAGTTACAGAGATTAAATTTTGATTAAAAGAGTATTTAATTTACAACTAAATGTATTAATATTTATGTTACCGAGTCTATTTACTTGTAGTGCCAAATGTTACCGATTTCACTGCTGACAGCGCCAAATGTTACCGAGTGTATTTACTCGTGCTACCTTTGACCAGCACACAACATCGACCACAATATAGATACTCGGAAATGCAGGTTTACATTGATCTCTTTATTACATGAATCAATAGAAATGCTCCACATAACAATGCACCAATGTTCCACAAGAATACAATGAACCAACTGACCCCCACTGTCCTCACTAGTCCTCACATAACAGAATGCACGTGTCCATAATTCCTATCCTCACATAACACAATACGTCTACACCGTTCGGCTTCCAACTTGGTACTGCCTCTCTCTACCAGTCGCCTTCCCATCATCCCCTCGTATACGTAATCATTACCATTTGTTGCATCAGAACTATTAACTGCGCAGCGGCCTGGTGTTCGTTATCAGTCCTGCAACTGTTGCATCAGACTGTAATACGTTCTTACAATAGTATGGTAACTACCCTAGTTACATCCACCCCCGCCTTTTTTTGTGTGTTTTCAACCACAAACAACGCTTGGCAGGTGCACTCCTTCAATGTCAAACGCAACACCGTAAAAAAAATTTAACTGTTCCACTCATTGTCAATGTCGTCATATTCGTATAAGATTGACAGTTATCCCTATTTCAACATATCAAATGTGTCTACATCATATTCCTCAGACACAAAGCAGTTCTAGAATTCACATCCACCTTTTTTCGTTTGGTGTCTTCACCAGTTCAATTTTATAGCTTTTGAACAGTCTGTTCTCATCCCAGCGCGACCATGAAAGAATTGATGGTTGCTGACGAAAAATTTCGTATTCTTTCTGTTTCTCAAACTTCTCCGCGGACCACTTATCTGATGGTCTACTGTCTCTCTGCTTCTGGGAGGATCGGGATCCTCATTGTTGCCGTTATCCTCCACTTGTGTATCGCTGTTGTGCTGTTGATGGTGACATGGTTCCGGGATGGGTATGTGAATTTCCGTTGTAGTTTCCGGTTCCCTAATTGTCTTAGGTTTCTTTGTGTGTAAATGCTCTTCTTGACTATGCCAATATTTCTTTAATTGAGCAATATTCGCCCACCGATCCGGTTTGGTGTGATTGGTGGGTCTTATTTTAAAGGGGCCACCTGCTACTTTAGGCATCTCTACGACTTGCCATATCTCCTGTCCCCAGAGGTCGTGGATTTTGTTTCTGCCTAATGGGTGGCTACGCAGTAATACTTTGTCGTTTAGTTGGAGTGGCGGGTCTTTTGTCTGTACCCGCGGTTTTCTTCGCCGTGCTTCATGTTCTAGTCTTCCTTGTACTACCCTGTACATTTCTCTTATTCGTCTCATATGTTCATTCACATATTCCAGTGCGGTGTATGAGCCAGTCATACTTTCCTTTTTTCCTAGGAACAAGTCAAGAGGGAGTTGAGCCTCCCGTCCGAACAGTAACATGTGTGGCGAAAAGCCGGTCGTGGCATGGGGGGTGCAGTTGTATAGATATACCAACTCTGGGAGAAAATCAGGCCAACGTTTTTTCTGTTCAGGTTCTAGAGTACGCAGCAAATCATGCATGCTGCGGTTGAACCGCTCGCACTGTCCGTTTCCTTTAGGATTATATGTGGTTGTTCTAGATTTGTTGATCCCGTAGTGGCTGCACAGTTGGTTAATTACTTCTGACTCGAAGGCCCTTCCTTGGTCAGAGTGTAATTGTCTTGGTATGCCATATTTGATGAACCAGTGTTCTATTAAGACCTTTGCCACTGTTTTAGCCGTCTGATCTCGTGTGGGCACCGCGACAGTCCATTTGGTGAATACGTCAGTCATCACCAACACATGTTCCGTCCCATCCGATGATTGCTCCAACGACGTAAAGTCCATAGCCACAATCTCTAGTGGTTTTGTCGCCAGTAGGTGTCCTGATGGCTGTCTCATTTTGACAACTGGCATTTTCGCATGCTGACACCTCACACAAGCCTCACAATGGCGTTTGACCTCCATCTCCATGTTGGGCCAGTAGCACCGCCGTCGTAATATTTTGTGCGTCCTGTCCTGACCCTGGTGTCCCGCCCTGTCATGTGCCAACTTTAGCACTTCTTCTCGTAATTGTCCAGGCACCACCACCTGGTGTATTGTCCCGTCTATTTGGTCATGAATTCTCCGCATGAGAACACCATCCTTTATACTGAGACGGCCCCACTGACTCAGTAGTTTCTTTGTTTCCCGACCAAACTGTTCTCTTTCCCTTCTTCTTGGGAATTTTTGTTCCTGGACGTATTTCAACAGCGGCTGTAAGCCACTATCCGTTCTCTGGGCATCTCTTATCTCTTTATTATTAAGGCAATTAAAATCACTGATGTCCATATGACGGGGCTCTGTGGATATGTGCTCCACCGCAGTCTGCCCGTTTTGCATCACTTGCACCCCGTGAGGGATATCTGTTGACGCTCTGACCTCACATATTCCTGTCAGCGTTTCTTCCTCGTCGCCCGGTCTCTCGTAAGGATTCCTTGATAAAGCGTCCGCATTGCCATTGGACCGCCCCGGGCGATATTTTATCTCTAGGTCAAAGAGTGCCAATTCTGCTGCCCATCGCTGTTCGATGGATCCCAACTTTGCTGTCTGTAAGTGACTCAGGGGGTTATTGTCAGTGTATACCACACATTTAGCACCTAATAAATAGTCCCTGAATTTTTCAGTCACAGCCCATTTCAATGTCAAAAGTTCTAGTTTCATGGCGCTGTAATTTGTCATATTCTTCTCTGATTCCTTCAGAGCCCGACTGGCATACGCAATAACCCTGAAACCTTGCTCTTGTTGTTGTGATAGTACAGCTCCCAGACCTTTAGAGCTGGCGTCAATTTCTAGCCGAAATGGTTTGTCAAAGTCTGCGTATCCTAATATCGGCGCCTCTGTCAAAGCATTTTTCAGTAGCTTAAACGAGTTCAGGCATTCCTCAGTCCATAATTCACCTATCAGTTGTGTTTTGCCTTTCTTTTTCTCCTTACTGTGTTTCTTTGTCAATTTGTTTACCAAGTCATGCAACGGTGCGGCAATTTTTGCAAAACCAGGTACAAATTTTCTATTTACTTCTTCAGATAACAGACACTTTAAAGATGAACATTTCTCCTGTGCTTTTAATTTGCATGAACTTTCCCTATCCAGTTTCATGGTTAATCTTGAGATCTCATTATTAAGTCTACCAATTTCTTCCTCATCATTTTTCTTAGCCAACAAATTGTTCACTTGAAACTTTTCAACATCCAAGTTCATTTCACAGTTCATTTTTTCTATTATTAACAAGTCTTTTGAATTCTTAAGTTCTTCCACCAAGACTATAGTATCTGTTAGCTTAGTTTCACAATTCTGAAGTTCAGAAAGCTTCAAATCTAATTTTTCTCGTGTAATTTGAAGTTCTTTTTCAATATCTGATAATTTCTCTTCAAGTTTTGTTTGAGACTCTTTCATTGTTTGTCCCCTTTTGTTTCTTAAGCCATAACCTCGCCACTCTGTAGCCTTGACTTGCCTTACAGAGGGCGATCGTTTCACCGGACAGTACCGTGCCATATGTCCGGGCTGTGAGCAGGACAGGCAGATTGGTCGACCGTCAGCTGTCCACTGGAGTGATGGACCAGCAGGTCGCGGCTGTCCAACCTGTCTATGTTTTGTCCCGTTTTTGCCCTGATTCTCTGCTGTTGACCTGCTTTCTAACCTCTTCAATCGTTGGTCAACCTTATCCAGGTGGGCCAACAGTTGAGCCATCATGGTTTCCATCGTGCCGGTCCCTGTGGGTGGGGATTGTTTCTGTTCCGGCACAGAGACTTTGTCTACCGAACAGTTCGATTGGTCCCCATCCTCGGACCTGCGCATCGCTGAGTTCCTGACCTGAAGGAAGGTCAACTGTGGGTCTTTGTAGACCTCTTCCTTCAAATCTCTCCTTAAGATGGGGGTTGCTAGCCCCTCGATGAAATGGTCCCTCAGTAGGCGCACATCAATGTCGGGTGTTTTACCCTTTACCGCATCAAAGGCCCTGTTCATTCGGTGTGAATATTCCATCACACTCTCCGCCTTTTTCTGCTTTAAGCCTACGAACCCCGATAGCAGTTGCGATCCCGACCGTCTCTCCCCAAAGGTCTCCATAATTAGATCTAGCACCTTATCTGGATCTGTTTTGGTGGTTTTATCGTGGCATTTGACCTCTGCCCTAACCGTCTCTCCTATACTGCCCATCAACAATCTTAATCTTTCCTCTGGTGACATATATCTCGAGGCCCAGGCAGCCCTGACCTCTTCACTGAACCTGTTGGTTAAGGTTGGATCACCGTCCCCGTAAAATTTGTTGATGTGGGACTCTCTGGGCAGGACCACAATATGGGTCTGCTTTTCGTCCAGATTAGACATTCTAATTTTAATTCTTTGAGTAAAAAAAAAAAGACCTTTCCTACCGTGTATGTAAGAATACTTTTCCCTGTTCCTGAATGTCCGAATTCACACACACGAAACACAGTTATTAACTAGGTTGACTATGGGTGCCCTAGCAGCTGGTCTAGTTGAATTCTTCTGCTCGACAACGCCAAATGTTACCGAGTCTATTTGCTTGTAGTGCCAAATGTTACCGATTTCACTGCTGACAGCGCCAAATGTTACCGAGTGTATTTACTCGTGCTACCTTTGACCAGCACACAACATCGACCACAATATAGATACTCGGAAATGCAGGTTTACATTGATCTCTTTATTACATGAATCAATAGAAATGCTCCACATAACAATGCACCAATGTTCCACAAGAATACAATGAACCAACTGACCCCCACTGTCCTCACTAGTCCTCACATAACAGAATGCACGTGTCCATAATTCCTATCCTCACATAACACAATACGTCTACACCGTTCGGCTTCCAACTTGGTACTGCCTCTCTCTACCAGTCGCCTTCCCATCATCCCCTCGTATACGTAATCATTACCATTTGTTGCATCAGAACTATTAACTGCGCAGCGGCCTGGTGTTCGTTATCAGTCCTGCAACTGTTGCATCAGACTGTAATACGTTCTTACAATAGTATGGTAACTACCCTAGTTACATCTAGTATAAAAATATTTTCCCCCTTGTTGGTATGTTTTTTAACGTCGATTCGATATATACATGTTTAAGCATCAGTGCAATAATCTCTAGTCAATGCCTCTAAATCATGCCCTCGAGAATTCATAAGGTTATGAATAAATACTGAAATTATAAGCCGATACATACAACAATAATGCCGATATTTGAAAATCGTGCAAGTAATTGTTTAGGAAATAACAATTTGAAAAGGGTGTGTGGGGGGGGGGGGGGAGTCTTCTAATGGATTTGGCTGTTGCTATGTGTGGCGAGTATATATACCCCCACCCCAACTACTTATGTGATGAAAAAAACTACGCTTGTCAATATATTAAGATTGTCTTATATTCTTCCGCTATTCTATTAAACGTAAACATTATAATTACACATAACATGACGTTTTTTCCTCAGGTTCTCTGATGAAGATGTTGTTGAGAGCGGTCACTGTCATGGCTGTTCTGGTTCACATGGTGGACGCCGGATGTAGCAGGTCTGACTGGTGGGCGAGTCTGGACAGACAGGGGCTATCGAAGTGCAGCGGGGGTGACGATTTCATTTCCGGTTTCTATAGAAACGACCGGAAGAGCTGGGACGACGACCCGTTACAGTTGCTGGAAGAGGCCGAGTGCTGTAGCCGAGTGTCCCCTTGGACGAACTCAAAATCCCAGGTCGTGAATGCTGATTGGTGGATAACATTTGACAGATCAAACTCTTGGGGTTACTGCCCGGCTGGGTATTTTTTGAACGGGATATATAGAAGTCAGGATAATAAAGGTTTGCTGTATAATATAGAAGAAGGAAGATGCTCTAAACCCGCGGATCACCCAGCATACCACGGGCACTGCTACGATCACGATATCTCCATTTGTTTTGACAATAAAGGAATTTGTAAATGTAACAGTGACTACTACGTCACAGGTTTATACCGCGGCGGCTGTGATAAGCTCTTCTGTCTGGAAACGCTGAGATGCTGCAAGATGGCTGATGGTCCTGAACAACTGGATGAGCTGTACAAAGTGAAGACGCGCATCATGGACACCACAATGGCTGATATAGCTTATCTAGCGCATTACCTGGGTTATGCTTGGTGCTCGGGCTGTAGAGCCCCGTACGTTGGCGAAGATTTTAGAAGAAGTGGCGACACATGGAACGCTGATAAAAGCGGGCGTTGTGAGGGATACATGAGCGATAAACGGTTAAACATGGCGTATGGAGACTGGAGTTTTGGTATCAAAGATATCAAATACGGAACTCCTGTAATTCAAGAACTGGCACCGGAAACGATTGATTCTGGAACTATATTCAACAATGACCCGACAGAGGCGACGAAGACCATCACGCGATCTGAGACCAGTGTCCGTAGCGTCGCCCACACTACGACCAGCTCTTGGAAATATGGCCACGAGCTGAACGTCCAGGTCAGCTACACGCCGCCTGAAGCCACGGGTGGAGTGGGTGGCTCCATTGGTTACAAATTTAACTACGAGACAACCACAAGCACGACCGACGAAACTAAGAAAGAACAGTCAAGGACATTTTCGGTCAGCACTTCCAAGACTTTAGCCCCTAATTCCGCTTCCAAATGGAGCCTTGTCCTGTCCAAAACCAGAACCTCTATGACCTACACGGCTACAATAATCGTCAAGTTTTCAACGGAGCTTCAGGGTTTTCTACGTTGGGGTGGTGGCGCTAGCAGTATCGATACCAATTACCATTACCAGTATCGCGGTAGTGGAGATCGCCCAACGTTCAACTACAGATTCGGAGATTCCAGCACGCCTTTCTACACGGCGCTGAAGAGACAGAGCGATACCAACTCCCAGCCTTGGTTGTGGAACGACATGAAAAACGCGTACCCTAACGCACAAAATTTCATCAACGACCTGAGTAATGAGAACAGGTACGTCTTCACCATCACCGGAAGGTTCGATGACGTCATCGGCAAACACGCCGAGTTCCGCTGGGACTCGGTGAGTGTGGGCAGGAGGTCGGATGACGTGGAGGACACCGGTCCGGATGAGATCTTCCAGAACTCCACGCACGTGGCTAAGCCTCTCCCTAACGATGTCCCTCCTGTGACACTCAAGCCTCCACATGTTGATGTTACGGTGAAGAACCAAGTCAAGTTGGAACAGCTTAAGCCATCCGGCTCGTAAGGCACCTAGCAATTAAAAAAAAATTAAGCAATAAAGCAACCCAGAAAAATGTATTGTTTTTTAAATTATTTCTTTCAGCTTTTTCGAGTAATTTTTCCAAGGGATTAAATTATAAAGTCAGTTTTTTTTTGTTTTTAAACACCAGAACATGTTTAAATAATTTTGCCATTTTCGGCACATGAAATTTAATTATTAAAAAATAAAACAAGATATTTAAAAGAAATTTCTGTAGTCCTGGTAATCCAATAAAACATCCGCCATTTTCAATTAGTCTTCACTTTTAAAAAACCATAAGGCTTTTTACAAGCTTTTATTTAACTCACTTCCTCGTTAGTCGCCAGTCGTCAGTCGTCAGTCGTAAGTCTAGACCGAAACGCAGGAGTGAAAATTCGGAAACTTCTACTTGACCGATACGATTCACACTTGGCACGTGGGTCAAGACATCAGGACAATGCAATCTGAAATTAAATTTGACTTAATTGGATGCCTAATTAATTTGTTATGAATTAATTAAAATTTGGACCGAATCAATAGGCATGTCTATCCAACCACACCACACGCGTCATCACGTTCAATAGCTGCGCCATCACATTCAGTAGGCGCGCCATCACGTTCAATATACGCGCAATGGTTTTTAGTCATGTAACACTATTGTAAATAAAACATGTAAAGTACTGAAAAAAAATTCATAAAAAACGTTTTAATAACAAGCTTTTATGTAATGATGCACTAAAAAGTAGAAAATAAATTATACACTACTATTTAAATTACTATAAAGAAAAGCGTGGGTCTCTTCTCAAATATTAGTAAAGGTATTAAATAGGTACTAAAGTACTAAAGTGACCCACGCTTTTCTTTATAGTAATTTAAATAGTAGTGTATAATTTATTTTCTACTTTTTAGTGCATCATTACATAAAAGCTTGTTATTAAAACGTTTTTTATGAATTTTTTTTTTATTTATGCACTTTTAGCAATAACATTTTCACTACCTTCATTTCAGCATAGAATTTAATGAAATTCTGTCTTGACAACTTTTTGGTAGTGCTACTGTTCAGAATTCTACAAATTGCACTCGTTTTAGATTGCGAAGATTGTAAAAATGTGCATAATGTTTATCGTAAGTCTTTTATGAAAGCCATCACTAAACTCTCGTGACAAAAGTTTTATTACTACACGAAGAATACACATGAAAATGTGGTGAGAGGTATGTTATTAATGAAAAAAGGTAGTAGGTTTTTTTTAGTATTAAAAACTACGAAACGAGAAAAACAGCAACAACTAACGAAAATTATGTCAGGAAAAAATATCATTTCTGTGTCATTTGTAAAGCCAGTTGAAAACTTTTGGTGTTAGATGGCGGAAAATATGTTTTACGAATACCAGAGAAATTCAGCTTTCCAATGAAGAGCACGTTAAGATTGGGGAAAAAATATTTTTACTAGTAGGGTCATAAAATATGTTAAACAGATACATTTTATCTCTCATTAAAGTCATTATTATTTAAATAACAAATTGACAAAGAACCCAAAAGTGAAAGAATTTCATTATGACGAAAAATCAAGCTGCTAGTGATTTCTACTGAGTATGTACGTGTTTGGACAAACTAAAGGGTGCCAAATAATCTCAAGCATGGACATTTTACTACCTGAGTAAACTGGACCACCCCGTTACCCAATCTTATTATTCTGTGCAAAATTCTGTATGATTTCTCTGTATATCGCTTGATACATCCTTATATTGTGCTCTTATATATATATATATATATATATATATATATATATATATATATATATATATATATATATATATATATATATATATATATGTGTGTGTAAATATCACTAGATATTACTAAAATTCACCGCGTCTTCCGGTTTGAAAAAAAATATTTATAAAATTATATAGGCCTACTAGTCGGTACCGTGAGATCAGAAGAAAATCTGCAATATCCGTAGACTGTCCATTTGAATAAATGTGACCTTAACATGAGTCCAGCGCACACCACAGCTGGTCAGGCACAATGGCGTCTTTCTTCCGGGATCTGAGCTCGAGACTTCAGGTTTGGCAGTCAAACGTTCTACCATCCTTACTTCAACTAAGCACTACGATACGTTCATGAATTAAACATAGCAACATTTATTCCATGAAAATTAGATTTAATTTAAAAGTGGAAATATAATCAAAATTGTAGGGGACGCAACTGGTATTAAAATAAAAGTAACAAAAATAAAACAGCGTTACTTCCCTTAGAACAAAGAACTAAATCCTCAACAGAAATGGACAATCAGTGGCGAAGCGAGGTCGGGTGTCACCCGGTGCTGCACTTAAAGGTGTCACCCCCCCCCCCCCCAGAGGCGTAGCGACCCTTCCCGGGGACAAACTTTCAAGTTTTCGATTTGCACCCACCCCCCTCAAACTTTCGATTTGCACCCCACCTCAAGTTTTCGATTTGCAGCCCCCCCCCTCAAACTTTCGATTTGCACCCCCCCCCCCTGAAGTTTTTCTCTATATAATTTGCTAGTTTTTGCCTTGGTGTCACCACCTTAAATGGAGTCACCCGGTGCGTACCGCACCCCCGTCCCCCCCCCCCCCCCGCTCGCTACGCCCCTGTGGACAATAACGAGAATAGTCTCAAAAGGTTCATGAAATATTGTTAAAATCGTGTGCGGTGTTATTAAAAACAACGTGGTTATAACAACTTTATTGTGTGTTCAACTTAAGATTGAATGTATTTCATATATTTAATATTTTAGGTAACGAAACAAAATTGTAAAAAAGTGTTAAACATTTAGATTTTTTTTTTTCATTTTTATCAGTAAAGATGTACATAAACGACTTAACTAGGTCACCTTGTTTAAAAGAAAACTTAGTTTATTTAAACATTTTATCGGCAAAGTTTTGATAGGAAATTACTACAAAGTGGGGTTTACATAACATCGATCACTGAGTTTCCGTACAGCCAATCAATGCTTGTCTTACGAAAGTGAAACTTACGTGACAACTTAGACGAGATAAAACTAAAAATAAATTTGGCCTTAAACACAAAAATAATATTTTCAAGGTCCCTGCATTTGCAAATTTTATAACATATAAAATCAATTAAACGTTTTCAAGCTCATCATCTCAGTTTTTTATTTTTTATTTTTTTAAATTAAAATTTTTTTGTTAGAAAGGAATGTTTACATTTTTTAAAAAAATAGTGCGTTATATAAAAACATATTTGTTCAAGAATATTTAATTGAACATTTTGACTGCTCCAGAGAGTAATGATAAGCAATTATTGTGAGCGTTAACAGAACAACCTTCACAGAAAAATCTCTCAGGTTTCTGAATGATCTCCGTATTATAAACACTGTTGTAAGTATTGTTTAGAGTTAGTATATGGCCTCTGGTTTAGATAACTGACCAATCTAGAAATGTACTTATTAACCTAATGTCCTTTGTTTCAATTTCCAGAGGAAATTACATTTCGGTAGACCATATCTGAACACCAAAAGCATACATCAATAACATACACACACAGTAATTAGATCATATCATCATTATTAAAAAAAACATCCTATAAATTGGTATTTGGCAAGCGTGAATAATTTCTATACTGTTCTGTTCGTGAGTCGCCTAGTTGTACTTGGTGCTTGGTGGAGGAGATAACAGATGGCCACACCTTTCCTTCAGATACAAACAGACGCAAAACAAGATGAGCTACTGAACCGATGATGTTTTAAACAGAACATTAAAGGGTTAACGTTGTATTGTCTTCTCTTTTTAGCGCAATTTCCATACTGACAATTGCGATTATTAATTCGTTATTTTTGGATGGATGGATGGATGGATGGATGGATGGATGGATGGATGGATGGATGGATGGATGGATGGATGGATGGATGGATGGATGGATGGATGGATGGATGGATGGATGGATGGATGGATGGATGGATGGATGGAAGGATGGATGGATGGATGGATGGATGGATGGATGGATGGATGGATGGATGGATGGATGGATGGATGGATGGATGGATGGATGGATGGATGGATGGATGGATGGATGGATGGATGGATGGATGGATGGATGGATGGATGGATGGATGGATGGATGGATGGATGGATGGATGGATGGATGGATGGATGGATGGATGGATGGATGGATGGATGGATGGATGGATGGATGGATGGATGGATGGATGGATGGATGGATGGATGGATGGATGGATGGATGGATGGATGGATGGATGGATGGATGGATGGATGGGTGGGTGGATGGATGGATGGATGGATGGATGGATGGATGGATGGATGGATGGATGGATGGATGGATGGATGGATGGATGGATGGATGGATGGATGGATGTGTGTCAGCAACTTTAAGTCGTATCTCCTCCTCAACGAAGCAATATAGAGGACTAGTTCCAAAAGCAAATATATTAAGCAAGTTCCGAGGATGATTTTGGGCCAAAAAAATTCCCGGGTTTCCTTCCTTGATTTCCCGGAAAAGCAAAAAACCTCGAAAAAAATGCAGTTTTTGGCCCATATCTCGGCAACCAGACCACTTTGCGACTTGAAACATTTACCAATCGATTCCTGCCATAATTTAGAACAATATTGCCAAAGAAGTTTTCAAAAATATCTTTTCTTTTGGTCACAAAAAATTAATTAAAGAAATTGCGCTTAAATTGTCACTAGACTTTTTAGTAACTTGTTTTGGCTCTTTCAAACCAGATGTAGCCTGAGTTGAGGGGGATAGTGTGGTCAAGAGGCATCACACACGACCACTATCTCTAGTTCAGATCCAGAGCTGAAGTTCATAGGAAAAAAGTAATTACAAAATTTAATCTTCGTGTATAGTTGACTAGATTTAAAAAAAAGTTGTTGAAACATCTTAGTCTACAAGATAAAGACCTGTGTTTCTTCCAGTGTAGTGCCCCCCCCCCCCTCAAGCTTTCAATTTGCACCTCCTCAACCTTTCAATTTATTTTCCAACCCATTTTGGCGCCCCCTAAGGTCGGCGCCCGGGGACATATGTCCCCCCCCCCCCGCCCCCCTCGCTACGCTACTGGCAGACACTGTTAAAAGGATATATTTTCTATAAAAATTCCATTTCGTTGGGGGGGGGGGGGGGGGCGGTAGACTCTCTTTTGGGGTGGTGGGGGGGGGGGGGAAAGCCTGGAAGAAACACCGATACAGACTGCGAGCCCTGTAATGAGGCTCAATAATTATATCATCAAACTAAACTAGACGATCCTCGTTGAAGAGAGCGAATTCATGTCCGTTCATTCCAATTAGACTTGTTAAAAGGTAGTTTAATCGTTAGACACAACACTTTAACTGTTGTGCATAAAGTTAATTCAATTTGTCTAATCATCCGCTACACTAATTAAAACACCCTCTTCTCACTTGTTTCTACCGCCAACTGTCTCTTAATTTATTCTGTACTCGTCGCGTCATAGAATCACTACACACATTCCATCAAACAGATTAAACAAAAACAAATACAGCAATCCAAATAGCTCTAGTGGGCATTGTTTCAAAACATTGGACTTAGATGGACAATAAGACACAAAGCTTTATAATCCCTTCGTAGTCTTATAATCCTAGCTTCTTAAAAATTATCTATTATCTTCCTATACGTGTTCTTGTGATTATGTTACAGTTAAGAATTGTCCAGTGTTAGTGGTCATTATTAGATCTCCTCAGCATGCTTTGGGGCATACATAAATGACGTCACGCTTTTTTGACGATTTTTACCTCCCCCCTCCCCTCCGTCACACATCGTCACAAAAAGCCACCCCCCTATAATGACGTAACACCTCAGCCTACAACCCCCCCCCCTCAAAATTGCAGTTGAATGTTTTTTTAAAACATCTATACTTTTCCAAAATATTGTCTGAACACTGTCAAAATAGAGTATTTTAATGAATTCCTATTACAATTTATTAAAATAGTTTTCTAAAACGCGAAATAATGTCTAAAATTCGTTTTCTAATATTTCTTTTTTATAATGCAAAAGTGTGACATCGCACCATCTGACCCCTCCCCCCCCCCCACTCCCCCTCATAACACCGTCCCAAAATTACGAAGCCCCCTCCCGCCCACGAATGGACGACCCCTTTGAACTGCCAGCCCTTGTTCATAAATGATCGTAAAAAATAATTCCTTTTCATGGTTAATTTATTTGTTAATTAGATTTGAGAGTTAAAACATACATAAAATAAACTGACCGTAAATACAAACACAAATTGCTTTTATATTATTATTATTAGCAAACAACAGACCCTAATAAAATACGTTCCAAAAGCACTAAAACAGTTCATACTCGTTGTCGCATTTATTAGTCTTTTATCAACAACAATCAAATCACAACACAAGTAAGCCTAGTGTAGGTAGATACAAAAAGTTCAAAAGGTTTTTATATCATATATAACATTTGTATATCGCGTACAAACGAAAAGCCCTAGAGCTAAACGACTATAAAGAAAACTTTTCAGCAAATTAATTCTTTTTGCACATAAAATGGTCGTTATTTCTAACCCTTAAAGGTAATTACGGAAGTAATTATATTGATTGGAAAGTGCTTAGGCGATAGCTGAGTTGAATCACTTTATTGTAAGTATTAGCATTGTCGCGTTGTAATGTATGCATCTATATAATACAGGTGTTTTTTGTGTACTAAAACTGTTTATTCGACAGAAGGCAGCAACGACATAGAACAGTAAGGAAAATTACATTTAACGGTAAACACTTTTTTGATAACTATATATATATATATATATATATATATATATATATATATATATATATATATATATATATAGTACCACACTCCAATAGCCCCCCTGGATGCACATTGCCCATGGTTAATAATGTGATAGGGGATGTTATATCATTTTAATATAAATAAACTGGTAGGCTATACACCATTGAACACAGTTGTGTATTTCATCATGGAAAACAATTGTTGTGACTTGCATTGTTTTACTCTCTTTGGCCATTCCGCTTGACTTCAAGAAGGGGTAAAGGGCGGTTTTTTTAAATATTTGAATTGATGAAATAATTGTCAAATGATTTTTAAAGGCTTATATTCAATACAAAAAAATTGAAATGAGTGTAATCGATGGTTTCTAAACGGCTTTAAGTTTTAAAATGTAAAAATAATTTTACCGCTTGCCATTAAAAAAAAAGATTTTAAGATTTGTTTTACTTTGATTACATAGACCTTTCAAGGCTATTATTACAGCGTGTGAATACATTTCTAGTTGGGTCATTTACGTTTCCACTATTTTGTTTTAATTAATCATGCAATATACAACATATTAAAAAATATAAATCTTAAAGAAAGCTACTTTATAAAAATTACTAGCCGTCCCGGCCAGGCCCTGCACTGGCCTCTGTGAAAAGGACCATGACTTGTGCATATACCCGGCATTGCCCGGGTTTAGGAGACATATTTTGTTTGGAATTAACGCTAACCAAAACCAACCAAAATCATAGCACAAAAATTGCAAACATAATACCAACGCAAACACAAACCCAACCGCAAACGCAAACACAAACACAAAGAAACACAAACGCAAACAAAAAACAAACAAACGAAAAAACCCAAATCCAAACGCAAATTCAAATCCAACCACAAACGCAAAAAAAGGAAACACAAACGCACATACAAATAGAAACACAAATGCAAACCTAAACGCAAACAATAACTCAAAATAATGCAAATAAACGCAACATAAACACAAACTTAAATGCAAACATAAACGCAAGGTGCTTACAGTTTAGCCCGAGGCGCCAAATCGCACCATGCTGGGGCGCCGGCGGAACCGCCTGATTCAACTTATAATTATATTTAGTATAATTAATTTAGATGATGAGCACTTTACATATATCACACGATCAAGTCTATTTTTTTGCTATATTACTTTGTAATCAAGCGTCCACTGTCCGCTACATACAGAATTCAACTTTATATATTAGACGACAGAACCTTAAATGTTGTTTTTTTTTCCTCAGATTCTCCGATGAAGATGTTGTTGAGAGCGGTCACTGTCATGGCTGTTCTGGTTCACATGGTGGACGCCGGATGTAGCAGATCTGACTGGTGGGCGAGTCTGGACAGGCAGGGGCTATCAAAGTGCAACGGGAGTGACGATTTCATTTCCGGTTTCTATAGAAACGACCGGAAGAGCTGGGAGGACGACCCGTTACAGTTGCTGGAAGAGGCCGAGTGCTGTAGCCGAGTGTCCCCTTGGACGAATACCAACACGCAGGTCGTGATTGCAGATTGGTGGCTTACGTTTGACCAACCCAACTCCTGGGTAAACTGCCCGGCTGGATATTTTCTGAACGGCTTGTACCGAAGCCAAGACAGTAAAGGACTGCTGTTCAATATAGAAGAAGGGCGATGTTCTAAGCCTAGGAGACATCCTAGGTACTACGGACACTGCTACGATCACGATATCTCCGCTTGTTTTGACAACAAAGGGATTTGTAAATGTAACACTGATTATTATGTCACAGGTTTATACAGAGGAAGTTGTGACAAGCTCTACTGTCTGGAAACTCTGCGATGCTGCAAGATGGCTGATGGACCTGAAATACTGGATGAGCTGAGCAAGGTTAAGACGCTCACTATGGACACCACGATGTCTTCTTTGGCGTATGTAGCGCATTACCTAGGCTTTGGCTACTGCTCCGGGTGTAGAACCCCGTACGTAGGAGAAGATTTTATCAGAACCGGCGACAAATGGATCGCTGATAAAAGTAGACGCTGTGAAGGATACATGAGCGATATACGGTTAAGCATGGCCTATGGAGACTGGAGCTTTGTTATCAAGGACATTATATACGGAACTCCTGTAACTAAAGAGCTGGCACCGGAAGTTATAGATTCTGGAACCATAACTAATAATCTCCCGACAGAAATGACACAGAGTTTTATACGCTCTGAGAACAGTGTCCGTCGCGTCTCTCACACCACCAACAGCCGTTGGAAAAACGCCAACGAGCTGAACGTCCAGGTCAGCTACACGCCAGCAGACACCACAGGTATCGTCGGTGGCTCCGGAGGTTACAAATTTAACTACGAGAACAGCACAAGTACGACGGACGAGACTAACAAAGAACAGTCACGTACTTTATCGATCAGCACTTCTAAAACTATACCCCCTTATTCCGCTGCAAAATGGAGCGTTGTATTGACCAAAACAAGTACCCATGTTCCCTATATGGCTAATATCATGGTAAAGTTTTCCGCAGAGCTTACTGGGTTTCTCCGTTGGTATGGCGAATCGAATCTCTATACCAATTACCATTTTTTCTTTCGAAAAAATAATTACAACTACCCAATCCTCACATACAAATGTGGAAATTCCAGCGTTCCTTTCTACACGGCGCTGAAGAAACAGAGCGATACCAACTACCAGCCTTGGTTGTGGAACGACATGAAAAAGGCCTACCCCTACGCGCAGAGTTTCATCGACGACCTGTCTACAGAGGACTGGTACACCTTCACCCTCGCCGGCAGTTTCGATGACGTCATTGGCAAACGTGTCGAGCTCCACTGGGATACGGTAAGTCTGGGCAAGAGGTCGGATGACGCGGACGACACCGGTCCGGATGAGATCTTCCAGAACTCCACGCATGTGGCTAAGCCTCTCCCTAACGATGTCCCTCCTGTGGCCCTCAAGCCCTCAAAAGTTGGATAAGCTCAGACCCTCTGGGTCATAAGGCGATAAGATAATTTGAAATGAGTATAAACAAATATATAAGAAATTATTGTTTGTTGCTTTTATTTTGTTTGTTTTAATTAATGAATTTACTCTATTTTAACTTTCTTGAATACTGATAATATCGTAGCAGTAAATTGGTAGGGTATTTCAAATAGTGAATGGCAAAAAAATAGTCACAGAAAAAACAACAGAAAAAAGTCATAGTTTTTTTTGCTAAGAAAAGAGTCACAGAAAAAAGATACAAAGGAAACATTTTTTTCGTAAAAAAGTCACAGAAATAAAGTCACAGAAAAAAAAGTAAAAAAATCTTCAAAAAATATTGTTGAGTTTTGTAAAACTTTGGGAATTAAATAGATCTTCCAGGTAGGCTTCGCTGAAATAGTGAGCAATTCCGGTTACCAGAAGTGCAATTTTTTCTCTACTTGCATGTGAACATGCTAAATTGGAGAACCGTTTTGTTCTTGCACTGGTTGACAATCGACTTAGTGACGCCACTTGTTCTATATAATTCTACAGTCCATTGAGGTCTTTGGCCAGTTTCACCACCAGCTTTCACTCAATGGTGTCTGCTGGCGTCCGTGTCTGAAATCCCATCTTCTGGAAGTCCATCTCTACATCAACTATCTCTCTTACCTTAAGTATATCTTTCCTTTGTTTCCCTTCGTGCTTTTGGTTATACATCCAATAGTAACTGGAGATTCTATGCATTTGTCCTAACCATAGTTGCATTCGTTTCTCAATTTCTGCCACTACTATAACATAATTAACTTATCTTTCTGCCACTATTGTAGTATATTTAACTTATCTTTGGTTGGTTTGTATTCTCCGTCGATTCTCCTAACCATGGTTGCATTCGTTTCTCAATTTCCGCCACTATTGTAGTATAATTAACTTATCTTTGGTTGGTTTGTATTCTCCATCGTTTCTCATCGTACTATATCCCATACATTTTCGATGATTTTTCAGCTCACGTCTGGCAATTTTTAATAAATGACATACATCATTCTAAAGTATAGGTTGCTTGTAAATACATAATGTCATGAGTCTTGAGAAAACATTTACAGTTAATACTGATATCGAAAGTATCTGCCAAAAGTGAATCGATTAGCAAGTGCAATTTAAAACCTTTGATTCATGCATGAATTACGAATGCAACATATAACAAAGTAAATGTCAAAAGAATGCTTGTTATCTAGTGACAGTCATACTTTGTGTGCCGGGCCAGCTAAACAATACTGTTTGTAATTAACTGCTTTAGGGATTTTTCGCTTATTGTTGAGAATATAAAAAAGTTTGAGCAGTGAAAGTTTAAAACTTTTAGTGACCAACCCCCCTAGTATCCTGATCTCTGCAGCAATTGATGTAAATCATAAAATAAATGTCTCAATTTGTTCAGTTTTGTTTTGAAATTTTCTTCCACATTCAACTCCCTATACCGTTGGGTAATGTTATCTTAATATATATATATATATATATATATATATATATATATATATATATATATATATATATATATATATATATATATATATATATATATATATATATAAACACTAATAGCGTATTTTGATTACTAAAATATGTCATGTTTTTTTTTAAACACTGAAAGTCTTAGTACAGTTTTAGCTAAGTCTCTCGTATCAAGTATGTAAAGTATGTTAATTGAAATTATTTTTTTGCATTTACTGTACCACGATTTCATCTTATGTTACTAAAAATATATAGGTCTATTTTTGCAGATTAAATTTTAGTTTTAATACTTTAAAATACTGAAAGCTACATTTAAATGAATAATTTGTATACTTATTGTACTACATTCTTAGGAATAAGCTACCGTAAAAGATTTAATAGTGCATAATTATTGTTTAATTCCAACTAAGCTTGCATAATTTCTGCAGGGATTATCAGTGTTGAAATACGATATGTTTTAGAAAAATTCACGAATCCAACACACTTATCATAATCATTTCCTCTACGGTTACTGCTCCTAACCAGCTGTTCAAAACAGAAACAATATGTATCAGTTACATTTTTAACAAGTCCTGTTATTAAATAATCAGATGTGTTTCAAACTACTAATGATATACGAAAACTTCAAGATTGGCATCACGTTACAATGTATGTGACAGAGGTGTAACCGGTTTTTCAAATATTATATACAAATATATACATTTATAGAAATATATATATATATATATATATATATATATATATATATATATATATATATATATATATTTCTATAAATGTATATATTTATATATATATATTAAAATTTACACACATATGTTTATATATATATATATATATATATATATATATATATATATATATATATATATATATATATATATATATATATTAAAATTTATATTAAATAATATATTAAAATATATTTTAAAATTTACACACATATGTTTATATATATATATATATATATATATATATATATATATATATATATATATATATATATATATATATATATATATATATATATATATATATATATATATATATATATACGGTCTACATTAAAAACGAAATATGATATTTCAGTTATGCTCCTTAGCATATTCATAATTATCTTTTTGAACGTGTACGCAAATTTGATGCAGGTTATTTTTTATTTCTTATTTCAATGTTTCCATGTTCGTCTTTTTACTCAAATGTTTTTTATTATCGGCACACTTCTATGAGTACATTTTATTTTCTGTGGTTTCTATTTTCTTGGTGCTATATTTTTTACTGCAATGTGCGTGTTCGAGGTTTTTTCCGTTGCGTCATTTTTCTTTGCTCTATTTCCGGGTTCCAACGAAGGAAACAATGGCTGTTCACCTCTGTCGTAGCGTCACTCAGCTATCATGATCAGATTATTTAAGGCCGTGCGATAGTGAGGAACAGCATGAAACTCCTGATGACATTAACGTTTTTGAATACAAGATCAAGTTTTCAGCCTAGAGGGGGAGTTCGTTTTGAGTCAAACGAAATAGCAGCAGAGGGCCTACTGAGGGTGCATTGCAGTGAGTCACAATCCTGTGAGGACCTGGAGTCAGAAGGTCAGACTTACACGACACAATACATTTGGGACCGGGAGTCAGAGTCGTATACCTACCCTGAGTGACTAGGGTAAGTAAAGCTTGTTGTAATGCCTTATATGTATTTAGCTTGATTTAGTATTAACGAGTTATACGCATGTTAGGACAATATAGTGTAGTAACAAATATATGATACACAATTTGAAAAAAAAGTTTTGCTTTAATATGATTAGTTTTACTATACGTGTCACAGTATTATGGGATGGCGTAGTCTAGTGGTAAAGAACTAGACTGCTGACCCGACTAAAAACCATCGCGCGTCTATGAACGTGATGACACGCTTTTGACGTAGAGCCCCCTCTCTCCACGCCCAACACGGCCGTGACGACGCGTGTGGATAGAGCTGCCTACTAATTCGGTCCAAATTTTAAATAATTCATAAAAAAATTAATTAGGCGACCAATTAATTCAAATTGAATGTTACGATGCATTATCTTCATGTCTGGACCCACGTACCAACTACGAACCGTATCTGTTAGTTAGAAGTGCCTGCAATTTCACATGGCAGTTTCGATCTAGGCAGACAGACAGACAGACTGACGACAGACTGACGAGGAAGTGAGTGTACTAAAAGCTTGTAAAAACTCAAATAAAATTGACATGGATATGGTTCTAGCCAAAAAAAAAATCTTGTTATGTCGAGTTTTATGGGGAAGAAAACTCTATACAACTTAATAAAAGTTATAAAAAACTAATTTTAACAAACTAAACTTAATAGAGATTACAAGAAGGGAAAGGTGTAAAGATGCATTTATTTATTCTTTTATTGTTTTATCAATTCTTGGTTTACTTAATAAATGCGTTCTTTTATTTTTAAAGAAGAGCTATGTTTGACTTTAAATTTCAATAGTTCTGAAGATTTTTTCTCCCCATATACCTTAGGCAATGACTTACTTTCTTTAAAGGGTATGGGGAACGAGTAGATAATTTTCAGAACTCTATCAGAAACATTGCGCTTAAATTCGTGTGTACTTTTTTTTCTCCTTCTCGTTTTTTAACATATATTTTATGTCTTCTTCTTCTTCTTCTTCTTCGTTCTTAATTATTAGTGTTGAAGGGGATCGAGATTTATCTGCCAGTGGGTTTGAACTCGAGACTTTGTTCGAATTTATCAACCATGAGCTTTTTGCCGACTCGACCACGCCTCCAACACAATTAAGCGTTACGTGTCAACTGGTTATGCGCCATTGAGGCCATTGACTCCGATTTCAGTCTGCTTTTCTTTTTGGATAGCCTTTGTCCAACCAAGAACAAACTACAAGGCAGCAGTTGTTTAATTTTGGAGTTGTCTCTCCTAGAAGAGTGGCTGTCCCCAGCTAACGAGCCTCATCTGCCCGAGGGTTCGAACTCGAGTCTTTTCGGTTTAGCAACCATGAGCTATACCGACTCGACCACGCCGAACCCTTATTTTATGTCAATATATACGTTTTTTCCCTTTTGACACAGATTCTGTTTTATTTAAACATGTTTGGTGTAAGATTTGTTTCAATGGTTGTCCATAAAGGACGTCACACTCGTAGGGTGGAGGGGGGTGTGATGAGGGGGAGGAGGGTGGGTCAGATGATGTGACGTCACACTTTTGCCTTTTAGATATATATCCTAATATATAAAAGGCCATGTGCGCTCTTCTCTCTCTCTCTCTCTCTCTGTCTGTCCGCAAAATATTTTCGCCGGACATCACGTCAGAAACGGCAGCGATATATGGAGAACTTTATACGGACTTTTGTTGAAAATAATATGTTAGATGTTTTAAATGTATAACCACAATTTTATTTAAAGAAGAAAAATAAAAAATAAAGGCGTATTCGATTGTAGAAAAACAATTTTATTTATGTAACCGGAAAAGCATTAATAGATGTGAAAAAGAACGCATAAAAC